TTCACTTTAAAAGGAAGTCGTTTAATTTCAACGTAAAAGTCCTTTGAGTGTAATGAACAAGATTATTATTTGTCATGAATCAGGTTATTGCAAACCTTAAGAAACAGAAATAATGTGATTATTTGAGGAATTACATCTGTTGAAATATGAAAATAGATTATGCGAATTCTAAAAAATAAATAAAAAGGTAATGCAAAGGAATGCTCCTGCAAAATTAAAGGTTTATTATGCAATTAAATTATTGGAAATGTTATTATGTTTTAATAAATATAAAGTTGCTTAAGTAATCATTTTGAATAAAATATGTTTGTCTAATATTAGTTTTTTATGTTTGTTTTATTATTGGTGTCACTATTCGTCAAGGGTTATGATACACACTTATGTCCAGTAGGGGGCAGGAATTAAACAGGCTAATGCACCAAAATGCTGGATGCCAGCTGCTGTAAAAATATAAGTAGTAGTTATTAAACACAAAAGGAGTGTCCTGATAATATATATAGTTTTTCCATGGGGGTTAACTTGACCAACATGATGAGCAGAGGCTTTTAATCAGTGTTTTTTTTGTTTGTTTTTTGTTTTTTTGTTTATTGTATATGCTAAATAATTAACAATCAAAATGATACCAAAATCTTGCAATTTTGACACCCACATTGTAAAAACATATAAAAAGCATAATAATTATAAAAATGTAAAAAACAAAACAAAAAGACTATAGGCTACATTAACATTTGCAATAGAATAGAGGAGTTTAGTTTGAGTATACATTTATATTTATAATTCTGGTTGCTTTTTGAACGTATTTTAAGGGTTCTATCTGTCCATTTATATTTGTGTATGTAATTACCTAATTAAATGAAAAGGTTTTAAATAAAAATATTTCTTATTTTGAATAGTCTATTTATATAGACTAATATTTTATATAACATATGTTCATAATTTAACATATTTAATCCCTCTATTAATCACATTATTTCTATTTCATAAGCTTTGCAATAACCAGATTCTTGATAAATGTTTGTGAATTTTATTTCTTTATATTTTTTTTTGTATGTTTGCGCGAGATGTTATAGGTGTGTTTGCATGCAGTGAGTTTATATGTATGTGCGTGTGTTAATGTGGGTGTATTCATGTGTCAAGTTCATATTGTAGCGAGGCAAAGGGAAAACACAAACACAGTTAGCTGGTGTTACAAACAATGCCCCGGAGGGTGCTTTATTTACAAGTGAAAAGGGGGTGAATGAGTGCTCTTCTTAAGGGTGCGTGCTCAAGTGCTCCGGGGAGATGGTGAAGACTGGTGAGAGTTCTGGTGTTGGATCGGTCACGAGCTGGATTCGGCTGTGGGAGAGACAGAGAGAGACAAGCGTTAGCACAGGGAGTCATGTGCAAATGAAGCTCCCTTTCCTCCTGTGTGGGGCTGGCTTTTATCTCTCCCTGGCTGATGAGGTCCAGCTGTGAGCGATCCGGTGCTGATGAGTTTCCAGCTGGGGTGAATTTGTGACCTGGGCGACGTGGTAACAGCAGACTCGCTACAATATGTATATACACAAGTTTCATCCATGTTGTTTTGAACATTCAGTAGTATAGGTGTATATGCGAGTAATTTATAGGTGTATATACACGTGTTTTATGTATGTGTTGATAAGCAAAGTTTGATTTAAATCCTATACGGCACCTCATAACCATGAGCTCCTTGTCTAAATTCCAGACGGCAATTCCTATACGGCACCTCATAGCCATGAGCTCCTTGTCTAAATTCCAGCATGGAGACTGGCTGTCTGTACCGGCGGGTACAATGTGACGTCTTTGAGCTTTCATCATTAATTCAAGAGAAAGACGAACTAATCAGCGCGCTCTATTGTGAATGAGGTGCAACTTTATTAATATGCATGATAGCTTCAAAAACTACCTGTTACAGTATTCAGAGAGACGCGATGTTGTGTTGCTAACCGTAAATAAAACAAGTGGAAGAAGAGGAATTGTTCAGAGACATGGGTCGTCAGTGTTGTTTATAAACGTGCCACAACAAAGGTTTTGTTTTCATTTCCCCGCGATGAGAAAGGACCCACATTTGTGGACTACAGTGGTCTTCTAACACGCAAAAAAAATATGTTTGTAAGGAACATTTTTACCCGAGAACTTTTTGTATGTATAAATGGTGAAATCCAGATTTGCCACTCGTCTTCTTATAAAAAAAATCGCAAATCCAGTTTGCGTTGATTGTCCTGTCTCTATGGATTTGGTAAGTAAGCAATTGGTGTTCGTTGTTATTCAGATGGCGAAGTAGGCCATTAAAACTACACTCTTCTAGCAGTTCCTCGGATCCAATATGTCGTTTGTCATGGGGGGCACGCATGAAATGTTCTTGAATGAAAATGAAAGTGCCAAACTGCAGTTAAAGTCGACAAATTAAGAATGAAACTCCCCAAAATTACATGACACTCCGGAGGAAACGTGGATAGCGTGGTGACACAATGACGTTAATCGTATTATGTGCTTTAACATGTAAAACGGGATCATGAAAGGAACATTCTAAAAGCAACTCATGTAAACACCTTAATCATATTGGTGTTTTAATCAGATTAAGGCAAATAGTTAGATTACTGATGTCCACAAAATCATTGCTTTATCTGTTAAACAGACAAGTGAAACACAAACTACTCTTTTGTCTTCATTTGGAATAAAAATTCCAAGTAACTCAACACAAGCAAAGGCAATTGTAGGCGTAATAGTAGGAGTATTAGGGTAGGAGTATTTATAGCCACAGACATGCAACCTTTTTCAGGGGTAGAAAAGTCCGGTTTTAGGCATTTATTTAGTGTGCTAGAACCACACTACGAAATCCCAAGTAGAACGTATCTCACAGCTATGGTGGTACCCTCCTTGTACAATAATGTGAAGGAGAAAGTTATTAGTGCACATTTAGTAGTTGACTACAGATTGCTGGACCTTCAGAGCAACACAGAGCTTCATGACTGTCATATTAAGAACGTGAATTGTTTTCAAATGTTCATCAATATTGTATTGTACTGGCCATACTCTAGCCTTATGTAATAAACTGATGTGTCATGTTTGTACTCTTCAGGATGGTGAGGTCATCGGCATTAATACCATGAAAGTGACAGCAGGGATTTCCTTCGCTATTCCCTCAGACAGAGTCCGTCTCTTCCTAGACCGATCTGCAGACAAACAGAGTAAGAATGACCTCACAGCTGCTTGCTTTTGTCTGTGACATCATTTTTTTCACTGACAGATGGTTATTGGGTCTTTTTTCAGACTCTTAGTTTGGAGAATCGGGATCGAAAAGGCGTTACATTGGAGTGATGATGTTGACTTTGACCCCCAGTTGCCAAACACTTTTATTACAATTTTACAGGAGAATAAAATTCATACATTATGGAATCTACAGATTTTTGTTATATGCCACTAGATTTGGCTCTTAGAAATTCATGTGCTGGAATACCTGGAAAATTAGCTTGTTCTGTTGAAAAGTGCTTAATTTATCAAGGAGAATTTGTATGCAATTTTCACGCCTGAAAAATAAAAATGTTTGTAAATTTTTGTGACAATTTAATGCAAAAATACCCGCACAAAATACTGTAATTCCGAAGCAGTGATTTAAATGATATGAGAAGTGGCCAATCACAGTCAACCTTGGTTTAGTTTTACCTGAAATGTAAGAGCGGGACAAAGGCCTTTCTGTGTTGCAGTGACAGAAAAAAACAACTTAAAAACAAATGTATTATGGGAATAATGCTTTTCAGATGTTTTTACTATGTTATTAGCAAGAGTAATTAAACCGCAGACATTGAAGTGTTTTTGGTTGAAGCGAATGTAATATTGATTGTTTTGCTGATCTGTCTATTAAACTATCAATCAATCAATCTATCTATCTATCTATCTTATCTATTTATTAATCAATCCTTAAACCGTAAAGTCTTTTATCATCTTTAAATTCTCTTTTTCCCCTCCTCAGTATAATCGAAGAGCTAAGGATGCGAGACCCGTCCTTCCCTGATGTTTCTCATGGAGTTCTCATCCACCGTGTGATTGTAGGATCTCCAGCCAACAGGTGTGCTGCTCTCTGAACATGATGTTATCAGCTGTTGATTAAGGCATCCTATTGATGATGTCATTTCCTGTTTTCTGTTTTGCAGAGCCGGAATGAAGCCAGGAGATGTTAATATTGAGATCAAGGGGGTAAAGGTGAACACGTCGGAGGAGATATATAATGCTGTGAGGACCAGCGAAAGCTTAAATGTGGTGGTCCACCGGGGGGCCGACCTGCTCATGCTGCACATGACCCCAGAGTCCACAGAGTGACATCAAGTCAAGTATTTAGTAAGATTAAGAAATGGTGAGTAATGAGAAGCTGTCATAGTTGGAGATGTTGTAAGAAAGGAATCATCTAAAGAGTTGAACAGTTTTAGCAAACGCTGGACATTCGTGTAGTAAACGTGTTTCTGGAAGCGTATGAAATAATGTGGATGATTCAGACTTCTGTACACTGGATAAACCTCAGTGTGTCTGCGCAAACTACACTATCAGTATTGATTTGAAGGAATATCACTGAATATTTTGTTTAGGATTGTCATGATGGCAACAAACACTCAAAGACCTTAATAAAACTGGGTGCTCTTATTGTGAAAATGCTGATGTTTTGTATTGAGTCTCACATTCTCATGTTATGACGTTTGTATTTTAATACATTTTTCTGAACAGCTCTGATTTCACAATAAACCATTGGAATATTTATGGATGATTTGCTTATGTCGCAGTGACTGATATGTTTAGGTTTTGGGTCAGCGCTGTACAGCATTCTGAAAAAGTGTATTTCTAAAAGTGCGCCGTAATGACGCCAGTGTCAACTGCAGTGTGTGTTGGAAAGGACTGGATGCTGTTCAAACCTCATGGCAAATATTTGTCACCCCATACAAAACCAGTTTAAATCCACACAATCTGACAACACTGGGGCTAGATCACAATATAAGCCACAACACAAGTGAGTTCAATAAAATATATCTTTATTACAGACATGTACAAAAATCAAATATACAAAACATTCTGCTAATGTGACTCAGAACTCCAGCATGGACCAGTCGTGGTAAGGCATCTCTTCTAGAGGAATTCTGCACTCTGGATTCTCATGCAGACAAGCCCTCATCATATCACAGCATTCTGTGAAGAAGAAATGGAGAGGTGAGGTTATTGTTATTATTATTATTAAGCTGTTTCACTTAATTGTTCTTTGATGAACATCTCACCTTGAGAGAGGGTAAATTTGGACCAGTCATGTTGAAGGTAGTACAGGTCATACGCTGATGGGAATTCTCCATGGAGCATTGTGAACAGAAGAACCCCAAGAGAATAGACCGTCGCTGGTTTGGCCCGGTAGCATCCTTTTTCATAAAACTCTGGCGGGATGTACGCTTCTGTGCCTGGAGGAGAGACGTTTAGTTTAGCATCATGTTGAATATATATACCAGATGGGCTTCAGCTGTGCTAATTAACCAGCTTTCAATACGTATATTAATAATGCTTATGCACATTCATAACTAGTGTTGTCAAAAGTATCAACTACCAATCGATACCGACACTCATCACAGTCATATTTGCTGAGCATGTGAACACCAATGGCCAATCAGTGGTGTTTAACAGCGCTCAAATTGACTTGTTAAATGTCAGAATCGATTGGTACCGAAGTCGATACTTTTGACCACACTATTCAAAACACCTACCAGAGAAGAGACTGTAGGCTGATTCCATCATGAAGTCTCCACACCCGAAGTCGATCAGCTTGACTTCCAGTGTGTCGGGGTTCACCAGCAGGTTTTGAAGCTTAATGTCCCGGTGGAACACCCCGCGGTAACAGCACACGTTGGCAGCATAAACAGCTTGCCTCATGATGGTATGTGCTGTTTTCTCACTGAGGACTCCACCGCTGACTTCAAGGAATGCCTCCAGGTCCATGCTTGGACTAGGCCGCTCCATCACCATGACGTAATGGTTTTTAAAGACCTGCCAGTCCAGAAGCTGAATAATGTTCGCACACCTGGAGCCACCGCTGGCCATGTTTGCCAAGGTGATCTCTAGAGGAAGTGGCTGGTCACATGACTGAAAACAAAATAATAATGTTGGTTTTCAAACAAGGGTTTCTGACCACAGCCTGTGGTCTATAATAAATATAAGACTTTATAAACTGAACACAGCGAACAGAAAGTGTAGTCTACTCACAGAGCTGACATCTTGCATATTTGGGGTCTTCTGAACAAATTTAACTGCCACCTGTTTAAAGGAACAAGCGAACAATTAACATGTGCACGGAGATCATTTCATTCAGTCATAAATCCTGAACAGAGGATTCATTCGTCAGCAGAAATGTCCAAACAATGAAAGCTCTGATGATGTTCTTTAAACAGGGAACTTCATCAGAGGATTTGAGTCTACAAAAATGAATACCTGCAGACCATCCTGTATGCGAATCCCCTCATACACGGAGCCGAAACCTCCTTCACCAAGCTGCTTTCCGAGTTTGTAGCGGCAGCTGATGTCATCTGTTAAAAATGAAGAAAATGTCATTAAATTATAAACCAAATAAAAACACAAACAGTTGAAGTCAGAATTATTGTCAGATTTCAGAACATGATAGTTTTAATAACTCATTTCTAATAACTGATGTCTTTTATCTTTGTCGTGATGACAGTACATCATATTTACTGGATATTTTCAAGATACCAGTGTTCAGCTTAAAGTTCTGAATACTTAAACTTTATTGCTCTGCATCATTTGGGAAATATTTTAAAAATATTAATAAAAAATCACAGGAGGGCGAATAATTTTGACTTCAACTGTATAATTTTACAAAGTTTGATGAGCCTAAACAAATGTTCTGAACTCCAGCAATAAACTTACTATTGTCCAAGCAGGTCCCATCATCTGCTGTAGACTTCACAGCAGAGTCCTCTTGTGAGACCTGATCCGGTAAAGGGTTCCAGTTTTCATCCAGGGCAGAGTCACAGATGTCATCTGTTATGAGCTGCTGGCTCACTGGAAGTTCATTGTTTTCATCAGATGGTGAACTTGGAGGACTATCAAGCTCTTGCTCCAGGCTGTCCTCACTGAGGGAGGATTCGTTGTCTGCTGGGAAGTGAAGCTCTGCAGAGTCGTTCTCAATGACCACTGCAGAGTCAAAGCTGTTCACTTCCAGCTTAAAGTCCAAATCTTCGTCTGCTGGAGCATCAAGAGCTGGAGGTTGGAGAACTTCCAGCTCCAGGTTGCTCACAGCAGTGCAGAAGAATTTAGAGCTACTGATGGGCTCTGCGTGAAGTTCGTGGATCTCCTGCACACAAAGCTGATCTAAAGAGAGGAAGGAACATCATTAATATGACTCTACAACTCTTTTTGACAAGATATTTGAACAGTTCATTTGCAGAAACATTACTCAATGTGTTTTTATTGATGATCTTCATGGGTTTTCTGCATTGAATTAGCAAACAAGTAAACTATATATCTAAAGGCAAAGCTCACTGAAATAAAAAATCCTAATACAAATAATTCTTATTTTTTCTGTTTTTTACACAAAACTACAAATTCTGAAGAAAATTCCTGAAATCAGCAGCCATTAACCTTCATTGTAGGAACACAAAATACTGTGGAAGTCAATGGCTGAAAGCACCTCAAACAGGTTTAAGGAGTAAATTATGACAGAATTGTCTTGTTTATGTGAACTGTGGCTTTAAGAAACTCTTTCTAAAATGTCCTCCAGTTAATGTTGATTTCTGATCTTTAAACACTTATGTGTTGTGTTTGGTGTGTTTAACAGTATGCTTTAGTAATTAAAAGTGCTCATAAATCTATTTTACCAACAACAGTAGCTCTTCTTCTGGAAAAACAGGCGAAGAAGATGGGAGACAATTTGAGTTTCCTCTTTTTCTGTCTCCCTGCCTGTTTTCCTGCAGCGACGGCCGGGTCATCGGTCATCAGATGACGGTGATTCTCTGTCGTGCTGCCGGTGGGTTCGAGTGGCTCACACGGTTGTTCGTTCGCACACTTAACACCAAACGCTTTCTTCAGACGGTTAATCAGTTTTGAAAATGCCATTTTATCACTGTACTGTTGAATCGCAGAAAGTACTGAACTACTAGACATCCAAAGAAGCTAATGAGAGTTTCTGCTACGTCAAAAGCTTTTTACTGTCACCGATGATGTCAGAGTTCCACAATTCCATTTGGTATTACGTAGAGACTTTTTAAAACACAACAAACTTCTAATGCAGGCCCGCGCTAGACTGACTGGCTCATTCGCCTTAATGTGCTCACACAGCCACCTGCTTATACACATTTTTTTCCAATTATTAATTAATTTATTTTTGCACTTAGGCCTATATATTTTTTCTGTCATGCACAACTTTTTCTGCGTTTTGCTTTTTATTACAATTATTACCATGTTTATATATATTTATACGCGTGTGTGTGTGTGTGTGTGTGTGTGTGTGCGTGTGTGTGTATGATTCATTTATTTTGAGTAGCTCATTTCGGTTATTTTATATTTTCATTATCAATTATTTATAACTTTTAACTGTATTATTATTATCATTTATATTATATTTTATATATTATGATTATATAAATTCGTTATTCTTGTGAATTCTTTTTAAATGAATAATGCTTCAAATAATAAATTAAAAAGAAAAATATGCAACAAAATGAAGTTATCCATATTACCTGAAACCGCCAGTAGGTGGTGGTAGGACACTGTCTTAAGTGAATAAGACATTTATTCAGCAACAAAGCAACTGTTGTATTTATGAATAGATCAAGGGTGAATCGACTCTCACAATTAATTTAAATCCACAGATTCATTCACAAAAAATAACCCACTCTAGCCTAAATAAGGACTGAACCGATGTGAACGCTAACAGGTAGGAATAATGATCAAATTCTTGTGGATTAAACATCTTTGATGACATTAATTGCAGTAGATTTTGTTAAGTTACAACAAAAGGTATGAAATGGTTTTAATTGCGAACTGTACTTATTTTGTGTGAACATGCTACATGCTAACACCATCACAGCATTGCAGTCAACTAATTTAGAGCTACTAACGTTAGTCAACAGTCCCCTTCACTAAGTGAAAAATGCGAATTAAAAAGAAAAAATAACCTAAATAAAATAAATAATTACAAATTAAACAAATGAATATTTAAGTCAGTGTAAATAGATCTAACGTTTATTACTGTATGTCACAGGCAAGTAGCGCTAATTAGCATTTGATGCTAATGCTAACATTGATGCAACTTAATGTAACTGTAATGTAAATATTAATGTTATATTAACGGTACTGTAACTTTAAACTAATTATTGTTTTACTTAAAAGCTCGATCAAACCTTTAACATTAACATCAGTCAGATTAATTGCTATTTAAGTGATTCTGTTAAAATTACCTTACATTTGTTTCTGTCTAGTTAACTTTAGGAACTATACAGGGAGAGGAATTATTTAGTGTTATATTACAGAAACTCGATATTTCTTTTCTATATTTTTGTTAGGCCACAGTTTGAAATGCCATTCTGCAGGCTGAAATGGCATATTTAACACAATTAACCACAGCTTTACTACAAATAATACAGTCAGGTTTATTTTTTGTGGATAAATGTAAGCTTACTTTAGTAAAACTATGTTTTTGTCTTATTGGCTAAATGGGCTCATGAAAGTGTTTCACATAGAAATGAATAAATAATAATAATAATAATAATAATAATAATAATAATTCCTTACATTTATATAGCACTTTTTCTGCACACTCAAAGTGCTTTACACATTGGGAGGAACATGTTTCCCGAAAGCCATTTTGAAATGGAAACAATATTTTTCTTTCCCATTTATAGATGATATTTGGTCAACAATACATTTTTACGCCCAAATCAGGCAGAAGAAGTTTATTTCAAAATATTACACAGGTACTACTATCCCTGCAATATATTTAATAATAAATAATAATAATAATAATAAAAATTCACAAAAATGTTCTTTTTGTACTTGTAAATTTTCTGATGATTTTTGGAAACAGGTTTCAGGGTTGATTTTTGATTAATTTCAAGATATGCTGTAGAGAGAGGAATCATTAAAAGACAAGAAGTGAAAATTCTGTCGTCATTTACTCCAAACATGCTTGCGTTCTTGTGATATTTTGTATTTTGAGAAGTCAGGTCCGTCACTGATTATAAAAAAACACACACATGCACACACACACACACATTTTGAGTCTCTATGCAGTTACATTGACTGTAATTTAAGTTATGAAAGGAAACAATATACTTTCTTTTGTTTAATATTAATTATGACGTATTTAAAGGAAGACTTTTTGGCAAATAAGCTCATTTTTCAAGTCACTCAGAGTTAAACTGTTGAGTTTGATCATTTTAATCCGTTCAGCTGATCTCTGGGTCTAACAAATAGTCCAAAATCCTTGATTATTACTCCAGAATGAGAGTATAGCAAAGATTATAGAATACACATGACGTGTCACTTGTATACTTTTGAATGGGAAAAGTGAAGCAGTCATTATGGCAAATGAAGCCCCACCTTCTAGTACAGGAGCCAATCAGTGATTGATATATGGCAAATAAAGCCCACCTTTTAGTACATGAGCCAATCAGCGATCAGTATAGAATGACAATTCTCCAGGGGAGGGGCTTGGACTAGATGTGAGTTTCTGCAGATATTGTGTGATACGGACATTTATAAATGAAACTAAAAGGACAGTTACTGTTCAATTTTATTGGTTATTCATAGTATGTAATGTAATCGTAATCTTGGCAAGCAGTTTTGAAGAATTTGATTTACCCATTCAAACAGAATGCCCATGTATACTTCCCGAGAGGCGTATAGGTATAGTTACTAGCCATGTCAAGTTGGAACATAGCAGCTATTAATTTCCATCAGTCTTGGTGCATACTTTAACTACACAAGAGTCAAGTTTTACTTTAAAAACTCTTTGGAATTTTTTGAGCGAGATGCTAATGGTTTAATCTGATTCAAGGATCTATGCTAAGCTAAGCTAAAAGTTCTTCTGTCAGACCCGGAGTTTGTCTGAATGGATTTAAAGAGCCCCTATTATACATTAAAAAGGGTCATATTTTGTTTTTTGGGGGGTCTCCAACAACAGGCTGATGTGCATTCAAGGTCAAAGAACACTTTCATTGTTTTAGAATATGCATTTATTTTTACCAATTTATGGCAGCGACTCATATGATTATTTAGCAATTAATTTGTTTCTACACCCCTCCCTAACGCGATGCTAATCTGCGCTGATTGGTCCTATTGTACTCTGTTGTGATTGGTCAACAGCGTTCAGCGTGAGACAGAGAGAAATGGCCACCATGGCTTATCAACAATATTGAAGTAGTCAGAGTGCAGAGTGTATGTGTGAGTATACCTGCCAACAATTTTTTTCCGGGAGTCTCCTGTAATTTCAGACCCATCTCCCGCCACCCTCCCGTTTTGTTATTTATCCCAGAAACTGATGATGGCCATAGCAACGACAAGTGCCAGTGGATTGTGCATTTATATGCAAACGCATTTAAATCCATAAACAAAGCGGCACGCGTCGCATTTTCATCATGGCATTAGACGTGATATGAGAATATAAAGAGTTAACCAGATGCACTACAAGCGGTTATAAGTAGCAAAAAACAATTAAATACATAATTTGTAGAGAAAACAAAGAGGCAACCATTTTAATTGCACATACTTACACTTGTGAAATAGAGAAAGAAACTGATCCATAAACTGTGTACTGTAAAGTTCGAGCTCTGACAAAGTCCCATACGTCAATAGACTTTTCTGATCTAAAGCACTCATCAGAAAAATGACAGGAACACAGCACAAGCCTGGGCTGTAATGTTGAGGTATTTTTGCCAAAATAAACCTCAACCACTGACTCTTCACTGTTTCATCTTTGAGTAGAGAAAATAACACTAACTTTCCCCTCACACTTCAGAGCACAGCGTCTTCGTGACATATTCAAGTGGCGTCTGCTGCAGTGTCCTTCTTCTTTTTCTTTGCTACTGTGTTTGTGGGCGGGGCTGGGTTTTTTAAATTTTCCCGGGATTGCGCGTGCAACAAATAGGCGGGGCCAGGCCCGGATTAAGAACTCAGGAGCTCCTGGGCACATTATCTTGTAAGGCCCCCTACCTGG